TATCATCTGGCTTCAAAGGATACTTTGTGGTTAGCTGTGTAATATGGATTATTTTTGTGGTCAATGGCGTGCTTTCCTCCTGATTTTCAGCATGCAGAAGACCCTTATATCAGCTTGTTAGGCTTGTTCATTATATTGAAGCTGCATTTTAAAATGGTAATATGGTGAGAAAATAGAGGTCTGCTTCTAAAAATGTTAGCCAAAATTCATTAGAAATTTGTTAATTTTTTGACAATGTAAAGTTCTGAAAATTAAGTTTAGAAAAACGGAGGGAAATCCAAAGAAATAAGAGTTAATTGCACTTAAGGTAGGGATATGAAACTGATTTGTCACAGATCTCAAGTTTTGAAAGTGTGATACTTAATATTTTTCTTCTGCTTTCAGTTGACAACAATACAACTAATTTTCAAGTTCTAGTGAAGTTACATGTTTTTAAGAAGAATTATGTACTGAAACTAAAGTTTTGTGAAGTTTAAAGTTGGAAAGTAAAAGCCAAATACTTAAACATGTTATTTTTTGTGTGGAGGAACAAGAAAATTACTTAGAGTAGACAGTTATTCTGCTTTACAAAATGATAATTCTAAAAGTTATAGCAAAATCTGCAAATAAAACTCAGTGTTTTAGTGACTCTCAAGTGTATCACTGGAGCTTCACACTGGGAGGGACCTCTGTGGTTTTGGACACTGTGAAAGAATTGGAAGTATTTTGTTACTGCGTTATTATACATTATCTGTGAACCCAGGGGTCAGAAATCATGCTGGTTGAATAGTCCCCTCTCTCTAACGTAAATGGAAAATACACTTTTAAAAGTAGTTTCACTTACGGGAGATGCTTATTAAAGATACTGTATCCAACAGGGTAAGTTGGAATTGAAACTCTTTCAAGATTTATGATGATGTATTTAGGGTTGATTTCTGCCAGGAACAGATGGTATTGAAGCAGACAGCTGATAAGTGATACAGCAGAAAACGCCTATTAAATGATGTTTTGCAGGTGTGATCACAAAATAAGAGTATTTTAAATTGTTATTGCAAAATTTGGTTTTGAAGAGCAGATTGGATAAAGAGGAGTTTTTATGAAGGGGGAAGTCACATTCATGCTTTTCCAAAAAGTGCTTTAATTCAAAGATTTTTGGATCAGTAGATAGTGAACTGTTTGAAGGGCTAATTGACATTATATTCTAATATACTCTAAGGGAAGCCATAGTCAGGTTACATCAGTCTTACTGGATATGTATAGGATAACAGTACATATTTAAGGCATCTGGCTTTAAGGCATCTGGCGCCTTAAAACTCTCTGTAGTGGTAAGTACTCATTCTAAATCAGTTGATGAGATAGAACCCAAACCAGGAATAAATCGTTGTATCTCAAAGGATGCTTACTACTTTAAAAAGAGGTAGATTTGTATGCTGCATGTTTGCTTAGCCATAGATTTGTCCATTGTAGAAGTTTTGATCCATGAAATAACCAGCAAAACAGCTAAAGCCCGTATTTAAAGTAAAATGAAACAAAGCTGGTATTATTCTTGTTGTAGGTTAGAGGAGTTATGAAGGAGCTTGTAGCACCACTATCCCTGTCACTTTATTTCAAATTTGGCTAAGGCTTTCTCCTATGCAGTTATCATGTCACAATCCTTATAGAAACTCCTATGTAGATGAAATGGTTGGGAAACTCTAGAAGTGGAAGGACTGTGAATGGAAGTATCATATGTTTTTCATGCCATGCAATTCAGAGGCACGTATAAATATGATATTTAGGGTTTTGTGACACAGAATCATCATTCTGAAAACTGATTCTCTAAGGACTGAGCCCTTCTGTTGCTTTTTAGTTTGTGGACAGCATTGACCAATATCTGGAATTAAACTATGGAGTTTCTTATTAGGAATACAAACACAGAAGAAATTTATACCAGAATACCAACGTTCTCTTTCAACTAGTAAAACCTGCCTAATGCAGTTAGTGTGATGTGTTTCTTTATTAACAGTACAGCTGATACAGAGTTGTAGTAGTCCCATTTGCCTTGCAGATTCTTGAATTGGAAAATGAGGGTGGCACAACATGTTGCTTTTCTGTGTTGTTAAATACTGTGACATTTGGAATTAAATAGTATCAACAGTGTTAGATTTTTCCATTCTGTGTAACAGTGACTTTTATGTACAAAACCCCTCCTCTCTTGAAATGTTTTCTTTTAGTGTCATTTAAGTTTATGAGATTAAAGGAACAACACTAGGGCCAGGATTTATATTACTATGATATATCAGTGCTGCAAGATGTCTGCTTCCAAAGGTGCTTGTTGAAACTGAAAGCTTGATTAGTGTTATTTCCAGTAATGCTTTATATGCAGTAGTTCGTATTCGCAGATCAAATTTGTTCATCAAATGATTACTGTTTTTAATAAAAAGTAGTCAATCTGTATAACAGTGCTTTAGTAGCATTTAAAATACTGAATTTTCTTTAATTTTACTCAGATCTCATTTATTAAAATTCACTAAAAATAGGTAAGACATCAGATGGAACAATTAGAATTTTCTTTTAATGGAAGCAAAGACTTGTGCATACTGATGAGAGCTTGCTGAATGCAACATTTATGCTTTTGTAAGAAGTTCTGAAAAACGGGGTTTTATATACTAAGCCAAAAACTCTCTCACAGAGAAGTTAAATAAAAAAAGCAAAAATATTTGGAAGCATCAAAAAGTGCTAGCTGTGAAACTAGAGGGGAAAAAAAAAGTCAGGGCTTCTGCCCAAGCACCCTCAGCATGCGGAATATTTGTGGTCAGTAGAGACCCTGGGGCTTGGGATTGTTGAAATACCAAGCTCTGGAGTTGACCCAGAAGATGACAAGCCATGAGCATCCCAGCCAGGGCTATGCCCTGGTGCTGTAGAGCAGGGGAGTCTCCACCAGCCTCCCACACGCCTGCCCTCCCAGTTCCTACTCCTTGCTGTGGAACTGGGAGTTGGGCTTTGAGTGTTTTCAAGCTGTCAGCTTAAGAGCAGCAAAACTGAAATATTTGCATGACTGGGAACACGCAGCTTGGAAACACAGGAGTGCTGGAGTGGAAACGTTGCTTGTGTTTGAGCTTGTGTTTCATGTTTCTGTCTTGGTGGTGTCAGGATGAAATTGGATTTTTAGAGAAGTGTGGCTCAAATTTATCAAGGGTTCAGTGATTAGCATTTTTCTACAAAAACAGCTCCCTCCTCTCCACTTTATTGGAAGATTTCTGATTGGCTGTATCAGATTGGTTACTTGCATGACTTCTGTTATTGAGATGGTAAAAAGAAAAAAACCAACCTAACCAAACCAACACCACACCAAATGTGATGGAAAATTTTGATAATGATGTGTTGCCCTTTAAGTGGGGAATGCAGTTTCCACTCGTGTTCCTGAGTGAATACTGTCTCTACAGAAGGATATACTCAGGACCCATCTGACTTTCTGTAATTCTACAATGAAATTGTAGACAGTAAAATATTATATTCATTTTTCTGGGCAAAAAGACTCATTTTGCTGGGGAAGCAAGTTTAATATGTGTATTGCTTTTTTCTCTTGTGCTTCGTGCAAGTAATTGGCACAGTGGTGTTGGTGATAAGTAAGTAGCATTGATTCCCTATTCAAGATGCATTGACTGCAGTTTTGCACTACTGAATTGTGAATTACTCATGTGTAATTAAAAAAAGTGATGTTAGGAAGCATTGACAAATGGTGAATGTTTAACTTTGGCGCTTTTTTTTGTGAGCAGGGACAAACGGAGTAGGTTGGAGCAGGGGGTTGTGTGTGTGTGGGGGGGTGTCATCTTTGGGAGGGAGTTGAATGTCCTACATTCTGAAATTGTCTTATGTTTTAGAAGTGACTTCTTGGGTCTCAGCTGTAGATTTGCTATCAGATCGCTCCTGCCATGAACTACTTCTTGAATTTTCTTCTTAAGGAGAGATTCACTGAATAAGGTTATTTTGGCAAGGGAGAGGAATGCTTTTTGCAATAAATTATCAATTAAAATGTGCATTAGTTTTGCCATAATTGTGACACAACAGTTGAATTAATAGAAATGTCTTGCCACTTAAAATTCCTTGCTGATGATTATCTTGATCCCCACCCCTGGTGCATTTGAAACTTCTGAAAAGAGCTAGACATCAAAGAGGAGCTTAGGCCAGAACCACGATGCCGACTGATGATCCATCTCTCTTCTAAGTTTTCAACATCCTTCCCTCAGGGAGCAAACTGGTTGATTCTTTTTCCTTTCTGTCACTAACTAGGATGTGAAAGTCATCTTATTTTTTTCATTAAAAACTGGGAAATTGGTCTGATCCTGAAAGATGCAAGAAATTTGTGCTAGTCTTTCAAAAGTGATTCTTCATCTATATATATTGTGTATGGTTGAGCTCTGTTACTTACTTGTACCATCAAAAGGACATTAGGTCAGCTCAAACCAATTGGAAAGGTTGGGTCTTATTTGCATCCTCCAGAATGTTTTCTGTAAAATAAATGGCAGCTCTACCTTCTCTTTGCTTACCTAGAGTAAACAAAACAATGGAAATTTGGATTTCAGTGTTTTTGCTCCTACTCACTCCAGTTTCTTTCCTATTTTCTATTTAAAAAAATAACTGCTGAAAATTCCAAAGGAAGTGTTTCTCACTAATGGTTGCATGTGGACGTGACACACCATTTTTAACTATGTAGGACAGCCTCCAGTTCCTGTCTCTGGAGACAAGTGAATGGTGATTTCTAATTGACGGGTTAATCTTCAGATGTGATCAGCATCTGTCAATGTGTATGTCAGGGAAACACTAGTTGACTGCGTAGGTATTAAGAGTTCCTTAGGGAGAAGCATGTTTGTCTTAGTAAATGTGGCTAATGTCTTTAGAGTAATTATATTTTTTAAAATATAAAATGTATAGTAATTGGAAGATGCACTTTTATGCAGTGTTTTTTTCATAACTCATGCAGAATGCTAAAACATACTTTTTATTTTAAATAAAACCTTTTTTCCCCCCTCTTACCACAGGATAATGAGAAAAGGACCCCTTTACATGCTGCTGCCTATCTGGGAGATGCAGAAATTATTGAACTACTTATTTTATCTGGTATGTTCTGTTCCTGTTAATGGAAAAAAAAATAACTCTATGCACATCCAAAGCAATATTTATGTACATCTTAGTTTGTGTAAATTTTACTGAGATATTTAATGTACTAGGAATTAAGGATGTTTGTACTGAAGTTTTGGGTTCCAGGCTTACCAGTGTTACAATACTGTGTAGTTCTGCTCTGAAATATTTTTCGTAGAAAGCTTTCTCAGTTAGAGCTATTTTTACTTGTAGCTTGGTCAGCTTTGGGTATTTTAACTTTAGTGTAAAGAATTAATAGTGTATGTGTTCTAGGTACATGTTAGCAGGATTGCTTTGCTTCTGAAGTGGCCTTCAGAAAAACAATTACAGTTGAATGTAGAAGACAGCATACAGAGTTGGTTATATTATTTTTAAATATCCTTTGTTGTTGGCGTAAATGTACAGAATATAATTAGGATCAGCTGAAAAATTTAAAATCTTTTCTTTTTTTCTATTTATTTGTACTAAGACAAAGTGCAAGTTCAGTAAAACAGTCTACTTCAGTCTTTTAAAAGAAAAAAATAGATAGAAAGCCAAGAAACTAAACCCAAAATCTGAAAGCCAAACTTTACTGACTGATATACTCAATTGATCTTTGACAAATCTACCCATCAGCTTGAGGCTGAATTTATGATACAGAACTGCTAAGGTTAAATAGAAAGATTAAAACTTGTAACATTTCCATAGAACCACTTTGATCTTTAGTCTGCTTAATGGCACACCTTACCTGTACAAAGCTGGCTATTTCCATCTCCCCGCCCCCCCTTCCAACCCTTAGCAACAAATTCTGCTTTAAGGAAATGTCACTTTTAAGATTGTAGGAGTCGCTTCTAGACTTTTAATTGAAATTGCTAGGCACAATTTAATTTGGTAATAATTTAGTGAGAGATAATCTTCTTGTTATATATGTATTTATGTACACTGTCTATATAATTATATATACTTACAATTAATTAATATTACATTGTTTATATTTTTATATATATATATTTCTCATGGAAATATTCTACAGTGATAATATGTCCAGAAAAGTTAACCTGTGTTGCTGAGAAGGTGCTGTTTTTCCCTACCAAGAAAAGAACCAAGTTCTGGTGATTTGAAAATATATAATGATCCCTTTCTTCTGAAAAGGAATCTTGGATCTGGCAAGGATATTACTTTGTATTTGGGTTTTGACGGTGATTAAAACAAAACCAAACAAAAAACCAAAACAATTAAGAAGAAAATACCTTTCTCTCTGCTAAAGGGCTTAGAGGAAGGGTGAGATTCTGGTTCAGATATTCACGGAACAAGATCCTGATTGGGGGATGGCAGGAGGGAAAGAAAGGTTAGTCCTGCTATTTGGGCACATAGCCTGGGGATAACTGTAAAATCAAACAAAAATTAAAAAATTGGATGGGAAGTGAGAGAACTAAGAGGAGGGAAGTGAACAGCTAAGAATTAGGGCTATACAAATAGTCCAAAGTTGAGCTGTTGGGTAGAAGAGAGGCTGTGGGGTGCAGCTGAGTCTGCAGATTGTTCAGGAAGATGGGGAGGCATTCATATGTCTCAGACAAAATTTATTTAATGAAAATCAAGATTTACTTTATGCAGAAAAACTTATTAAATAGTCATGAAATCAAAAGCTTTGTAAGCTGTGGAGTGTGTGGGTGCTGTCAGGCTAACCTGGCTGTGCTGATGGGCTCAATGCCATTTTGTGCCTGGCTGTGGAAGCACAGCCTCGGGAATTCCCAGGGAGTCAGTCGGGCTGGTCCAGCCAGGGAGGCACAGATGCCCAGTTGTTGGTGTGTTTGTGAGCAAATGGATGAAGAGGGGCTTTAATTGCAGGATGAGAAACTGCTGTCTGCCTGTTAAGGCTGTGCTGTACTTGGGCACTGGTCTGTAGATACCTGCATGCAAGCTGGGGTTTTATGCAAGGAGCTTAAACCAGACTCTTTTTTTAAAAAGTAGTCACTAATTTAGTCTTCCTCATTTCTGAGCCCCGACTTGAAATCTTTGTGGTTTGGAAAGTGTGAACACTCACAGCCGCATCTGAAGTGCTGCACCAGCTTCTTCTCTGAGAAATCAGGTCTAGGTGTCTCAAAATGCACAAGCTGAGATTTTTCTTTCAACTCTCTTAATAGGAAGATGGGGAACAGAGGTTAAGTGTATTTATCCTCTCCATTTCATAAAGATACGGAAAATTCATCTATTGTGTTTCAGCTGGAGATCAAATCTCTCCTTTGAGACAGATGTATAATGTTACATTTTGTCATAATAGATGAGCATGAGGGAGCAAATGAACAACATCTGTTAGCACAGCAAGGTTTGAAGAACACTTGCCGTGTTGCAAGACCTCTTTTTGAACAATGAGAAAATAATATGTTGTTCAGAAATGTTATTTATTCATCAGTCTCCTTTGAGCAGTAAATATGTATGTAAAAATTTTGTATGTGGCTTTAGTTGACCTGTTGTAATATATTTGTGGAAGAGACTGAATTAAGTAGGCTACTTCATCCTGGCGTTTCTCACCTTGCGAAGGCTTGACTTCGCAACCTTTGTGTAATGTCCTCTAATGTAGTTTTGCTGGAATGTCATAAGGAACCACTTCACAGTTTTTCTGCTGTGCAAGTTATCCTATAAAGGCTGTTTGCTTTGAATTTTTTATTCTTTATTCAAACTGGACCTCAAAATTACTGGTCAATATTAATCTTTCCAGTACTTGGTGGTTCTTTCCTGATTCTTTCTCATTATTCTCTATTCTTAGTTAAAGTGTGTATCATTTGTTACCTAGACATGTTCTTTTTCATTTGATTTGAACGCCTTTTGCATCCCCCTCCAGGGGATCTGTGTTGCTTTAAAGTGTGTATTTTGGATCATACGTTGTTGTTGTTACAATATCTTTACATTAGTTTGCTATATACCTAAGCAACCCATATTGCACATTCTGAAGATACAACCAATTCAGCCTATTTACAGACATTTGTGGAATAAGTTTTCAGTCTTACAAGCATACTTAGTTTTTGGACTCTTGAGGTGTTTTCCCACCAAACCTCAAGGTTGCTCTGTGACCTTTCCTGTTGTAGTCTTTTACCTGGGCAATGGCCCTGAAGGTGATAGTTTGGATACAGACTCTGAACACCAAAGAAAATTGCTTCAATGACTCCAGTTTTGGGCTGGACATTTAGATTGCCTTTTTTTATTTTTATTTTTATTTTTTTAATCGTGAGACAGTGCTTCACTGAACTTGCTAATAAACTTGTCCCTTGAGGTTGTGAATGTCTTGGCAGCAAATTCTCATACCACTATGGTCTGTGGGAGTCTAAATGTTAAAATCATCTCTCCCTGTTAGATTGTAGCATGATAAGCAATGAGTATTCCTAAATTTATTATGTAAGGAGGTGAACAGTAAATAAGAGAGGCATAAAGATGGTTGTTTATAGTGTACAGAATGATGGAACAAAAGGTTATATTTTAGCCACTTAAGAATCATAATTTTAGAAGCATTTTCTTTTTTATATTACACTGTGAAGAGTCATAAAACCTATCACAGTTGTATTTTCATGATGTACAACTTTGCATCGTGGTGCACAAATACATCTATCTACTTTGCATAATTGCACTGACTTTAACTGTGTAAATCCTTGATGGCAAACTACTGAGAAGCAGAAAAGTAAAATTAATTAAGTCTTAATTAATGGAATATCCAATTTTTTGTTGTTTTCAAGAAGTCCTGATTAAAAAAATCAAATACTTCCTTCAGTCAATTCCTACATGTGAACTGTTCTGGGGAGGCTTCTTGCTTTATAAAAATCATTCTTTCTGTTTGTCCTACACTTTCTTTAATGCTGTCAGTCTATTCTGCAGGCAAGTGAGATGTGAGGAGCAGGACAGTCTAGAATGTGTTCTTTTGATTAGTAACTTTTTTTCATGTGTTTTCTTTAAAATACCATGCAGACTATCGTTGCTTTCACTGAAATCAATGCAATTCATGAAAATAAACATCTGAATTATCTGTTATTTTCTTTTGAATAGATTCAGTGCTATATTGCATGGATACTTAAATATAACACAACATGTTTCTGTTTATTTAACCCAAAATTTTCACTGCATGGAGCTCAGCATACACGAGTGTGTGGTCGAACTCAATCTCATTAAGGTTTGGCAGCCTGTGAGTTTTTGTTGTGCTTTCCTCTGGGTCAGCTGGAAAATGCAGGAATCATGCTGACACTGAAAAACTATCATTACAGTAAGGATATAGGTTTTGGAAGATAGAAAAGACCCTCCAATGTTACTCCACTCAAGCTGCATTCCTTTCATCTAATTCTGAGGCCATGCAAGTGTTAGAAGCCGTGCCATGACAGTCTCACAGCTCAGCTCTTGAGAGGCTCTCCCTGCAGAAATATCAGCCATATGAAGCTCTCTGCTTGGGTTCTAGCTGTACCCCCACACTGAGGGCTTTTCACAGGGACTCCTTTTACACTGGCTCTATCTTTCAGCCACTTCCTCTTCTTTTGACCGTGATGTTGGCCATCACTTTCTTGTTAAAGCTGTCTGAACTTCCCTCTGGCAGAAATAACAGTCAGTCGCTGTGCAAAAAGTAGCTCTAACGCTCTTTGAGAGAGAAAATGAGGCAGACTTCTGAAAAGGTAGAAATGTTCAGTAGCTCAAGGAGTCTGGGAACCTCCTGTTGCTCTCTGAAGCTCGAGGAGGTGGTGGCTGAGGTGTGGCAGAAATGACGAAGTTCTGAAAGGAAATGGACTTCTTATGTGACAAGACAGTGAAATTCCGGAGGATGGCTTTGACTTGATTGTGGGTTCCTTCCCTTTTGTGGCCAGTGTATTCCCATGTGTTGTTTTCTGATGGTGGTGGTGGTTTTTTGTTTTGTTTTTCAAACAATAAAAACTATTGTTGAAGCATCATTGTGGCTGGTCAAAAGATATTCCAGTCCTGGCCCTCTCAGATTTTCTTTACTATCCTGTAGATCTTCTGCTATGCAT